GAGGCCTGAGTTCCGCGGGCCGGGCCCTCTGCCGGCGCAGCAGGCCCCGGGGGCCCTCCCCAGGCAGGCGGGGCACATGCGGGCCCGTCGCTGGGGACGACCGGCTTGCGATCCTTGGATCCGGGCCAGCGCCCGAGTCTGGCGGGCACGGTGTCCACAATCACGTCCTGGCCGCTTAGGAGTGGGCGCCCGACACTGGTCAGACCGCCCCTTTACCAGCGGCAGCCCCGCCTGGGAGGGGTGACAGGTCGTGGGTTGCCCTCCAGGCCGCCGCTTCCAGGATGGTGGGTCTTTAATGGCACACTGCGCAGTGGGCGCCCCTCCCCACCCCACCCGCCTGAGCAAGCCGCGTCTCCAGCTCCGCCCGCCTCGGGGAGAGGAGCCCAGCACATCACCTGAGTCACCTGTTGGGCAGGGAATGGGTGGCACATGCTGGGCGGTGGAGGTGAAGGTCCTGGCTGCTGGAGTCATTTAAACAAAACAGTCTGTTACCCTCTGACGCCCGCGTCCTCACCGCTGCGGGACTCGGTTTGGCACCCCTTTCAATGGCCTCCAGCTAGTTCCAGGCATCGTTCTTCTTATTTTGAATTTCTTCATGATCAACCTTAAAAAATAGCAAAGCAATTCCGTAGCGCGGCCTTCCGCCAGCCCACCTCCCCATTCCCCAGCTCAGCACTGCCCTCAGCTTCCCGGCCCACCTGCTGCAGGTTCCCCGCTCATCTCTGAGCCCCCTTCCCATGCCAGGACAGCAACGCAGGCTGGAGTGGCAGTGCCCTGCAGGCCGGCCTCGAGCCTGCTTTTGCCCTCCAGTGCCCAGCACGGAGCAGGCATCACAAAATAACTGCTCAACAAGTGAAAGGAATTCCTTTGAAACCCTGGCTTTCCCGACATAAAAGTCAACGCTAATTGGATCTTATTTTCTTCAAAAGATTTTACAGCAGCTGAATATTTTCACACATTTGTAAAGGGTACTAAGAGCGGCAAGAAGATCTATCACTCTTTTTTCTGTTTGCAAATACACCGTGGAAGACAGGCGCATGGCGCTCCAGAGGAGGCTGAGACAGCTGGAGGGTGACAGGCTTGGACTATGCCCTGAAGAGTGAGACAGAACTTCCGCCAGCTAGGACAGGGTGGGGAGAAGTCCCTGGAGGAAATACGGAGTGTCCAGGGGACTCAGAAACCAGAGGGCAGCACAGGGGTCTTGGAGAAGAGCAAGAGTGGAGGTAGCGATAGGCGGGAGGGTCTGGTTCACTCCACAGATTTTTGCCAGCTGAGGAGGGATACGAAAAGCATTTCAGAAAGCCAACTCTGGGGAGTCTGAAGGGGACGCAAGCTGCTGGTGGTGAGCTCAGTCTGGGGACTTTCCTTTTACAATTCTCCCTGTTTGAGAATAGACCAAATAACCTCGATGACCTCAAATAAGGATGAACAAGATGATTCAATTTAACCAACATTTATTGAGCACTTATTACACACAAAAGCAAAAAAGAAACGTTAGGTGACTGTTAGAAGCAAATACTCCCCGTTCTGGTTTTAAGCCACTCCTGTATCGAAGAACTCCAACCCAAACAGAGCGCTAAGGAATTATTCCATTTCAAATGCCTGCCAATTTCCTCAAGATGCAGCCTGTGACAGATACAAATAGATTCCAGGAAAGTACTTTCCCCTTTTCACTGCAGACTTTACAGACTTCAACATAAATAAGACAGGCAGCACTTTGTTTAGATAAATTTTTATGAAGGTATGAATCCATGGCTTAGTATATATTTCACTGTCAACGAAAAATTCACCTCTATTTAATTTTCTTTAAAAATGAAAGTTTAAAATAAATGACCAGCTCTTTGATGCAACCCAAGAAGCAATTTATGGTTTTGATGACTTGAGACCCATTCCAGACTCAACTGGGTATTCTATTAACTTGGAATTTAAGGAAAATGTTAAAAAAAAAAACTTCTGGAAGAAATCAAAGTAATGTTCCCAGGACTTATTAGAAAGCTTTTTGATTCTGTTCACATTCTAGGACACATTTCTGAAATCGTATCATGTAAGATGGCTATAGTTGTCTGAAACGCACATTTATATGTTAATTTCATGCCAGAATCACGACAAAATCTCCTAATGCCTGCTGAGACTCAGCTGATCTCCGGGAGGTCCCCCATGCCGTTGGATCTGCACTGGAAAGCAGCTTTGTCGCTCCCAGTGTGTGCGTTCATTCTGTGTACATTTACCGATCATCAGTGCTGAAAAGGCCTACCATCAGGCTTCAGGGATTTCCATGGTGCACGTGCATGCGTGTGTGTGTGTGTGTGTGTGTGTGTGTGTGTGTGTGTGTGTGTGTGTGTTTGGGGGATGACCAAACAGCAACAAAATCCAAAACCTTTCAATCCTCAGAGAAGGATGAGTTAGGGAAGGCTCCACAGATTGGGAGGAGACCTGACTTGGGTCTTGAGGGATGAGCTGAGGGGCGTGCCAGGCGGTCTGATCCAGGCCCAGGGAACCATTCACATGAAGGTCTGAAGCGGTAAAGGACACGGTCCAGGGGCCACTGTCTGCAGCACAGGGATGTGGACCCAACGTGCGATGCACAGCCTGCCACAGAGTTGGCCCTGGACTGTGCGGCCAGCCGGAAGCCGGTGCAGGCGCCTTTGTCAGGACTCATGTGAAGTAAGGGTAGGGCTCGTTCCTGGCTGGCAGTGATCTGCCCCTTCAGGAGTAGAGAGGAAGCAGAAGCTGGCTTCACTCACACCATCCCTCCACGATACCATCTGGAGCCCGCGGCCCGCAAGGGGCCCCTAATAACTGCCTGAGGCACTCGCATGACTGCCTGGGCGCTGCCCCGGCCTGTGGGCATTTGTGCCTTCCCTCGCCTTGTCCAGAATTCCTGGGCATCAAGAAGACTGTCCATTACATTTTATAACTGGTGCCAGACACGCCACCTAGATTTGCACCGAATGTTCCCTGAGGAGAGGAAAAGGAACTCGCTGCCTTGAAAGGCATGTGTCTCCAGAAAGCTTTTCAAAAAATTCCTTAACTTCCAAAAAACGCTGAACAACTAATGTAATGAGCAAATTTTATGCCTTCCAGCTAGCTTCACACACACACACATATATATATATGAAATATATGAATTGTATATACACATGTGTGTGTGTCCACATAGGGTTGCTTCTGCACCATTGACAGTAAGCTGTGTATATTGCCCCTGAGCAATTCAGCATGTATGTCGGGACCAAGGATGCTGGCCCGCATTACTGTACCTGCAGACTGGACATTCCAACTCAACTCTCAGCGGATAGACCGTCCACACTGACGTTGTCCCCAAATGTCCTTCGTGGCTTTTTCCTTTCTAAATTCAACATTCCATTTGGTTGTCTGGCCTCGCTGGTCTCCTGTAATCTATAACAATCTCTGCTTTTATTTTTTAGGATTCTGACATGTCATGTAGAAGGCCTCGGTCTGGATTAATCTGTTGCTTCATGATTACATTCACGTTAAATGTTTTTGGCAAAATACATTTCTGCTTCTCCCTGCACGCCCCCAGGAGGCACATAATCTAAGCGTACCTCATCACTGGCCAAGGTTGGTTACTTGGTTTAAGTGGTTCTGCCAGATCTCTTCATGGTAAAAGTACATTTCTCTCTTTTATAATAGAATTACAATCAGTGTCCTCTCGACAGTCCATGGAGTGACATTCTGTTATAAAATGTTCTGGTTCCCAACAACAATGTCCCCAGTGCGCTGAGCATCAGTGATGATCTCCACCCAGATAGTGTACCAGTTGTGGTATGATGGTCTTTAACTCTCCTTCATTTATTACCTAGTATTCCTTAGCAAAGACCACCTGCCCCTGCCCCGGAACTGGCTACCCCATTTGTGAAGTCCAGTACAAAATGACAGTGCACAGCCTCTTCCTCAAAAGAGAATTTTAAGATGGCAAACGGCAGGGTATTAAACCTAGAGGATGCCGTAACTGTACCCATGAAGCAGGCCCTGCCCCCAGGACGTATGTACCTATGTGTGCTTTGCCACCACTGCTCCAACTGCCCCCATTTGGGCCAATCAGAGCCCCATCAGGCTGGTCTGTATGTCTTTCTGA